CTCAGGTTGGCCGCTGAAAGTGGATCAAGTGTGTTAGTGGTGTCTGCTGACGTCCTCTCTTGTCCTCTTGCAGCTGAGTGGCGATGAGAAGGTTCTGGAGAGCTGCTTGAGCCTGGGTGGCCACCGAGCCCCTGTGGTCACTGTAGACTGGAGCACTGCCATGGACTGTGGGACCTGCCTCACTGCCTCCATGGATGGCAAGATCAAGCTGACTACCCTGCTGGCCCATAAAGCCTGATGGCCTGCCCCAAGGGCCACCAGAGGAAGCAGTATTATCTGGGGGTGGGGGAGATACAGGACAAGAAAACTGGGCGCTCCACTCCAGCTCCCTGCCAGTGCAGTGACTCTGCAGGGAAAGGCTGGCCAGGGGGCTTAGGCACTTCCATCTGCGGTAACTAGAACGGGACCCACGTGGAGTAGGTGGCATATGCTTCCCAGAGACTGGTATCATGGCTGCGCCAGTACACATGAGGCTGTGGGAGGAAAGCTCCGGAGGAAGGAGAAACACTGAGGTGGCTACTGTGTTGGCCCAGGAGAAATTGACAGTATTTTGTATATATGTGCCCATTTTTCCCTTTTTTTTTTTTTTTTTAAAAAGAATGCTCTTGTGGTCCCCTAGTGTCTCTTTGTAGGATTTGTGTCACTTTGCTTCAGTGACAGCCCTCCCACCGTGCCTGGCTCTGCTGACCCTCCCCTAGGCTCTCCTGTTGCTCTGCCATGGAGCCAGGTCAGCTCTCTGTCCATTCTGCTGGGTGACAAGGTTTCTTTTGTAGTTCCTGTTTCTCTGGGCTTAACTCAAGGCCACAAAGTTCTTTTTTGTCCCTGAAAGCTGGCAGCTTTTGTTATAGAACCTTCTCAGGGTGAAGGCAGGGGCTGAGGCCTCTGCCACTGGCTGCCCCTTTACATCCAGTGGCTGCTATTTCTTAAGACAGGCTAAGCGTCCCTTATCTGAAATGCTTGGGACAGGAGTGTTACGGATTTTAGATTTTTTCAGACTTTGGAATATATGCATATATACATAATGAAGTATCTTGGTAGATCCCATGTCTAAACATGAATATATACCTTATACATGTATCCTGAAGGTAACTCTATACAGTATTTTAATTTTGTACATGAAACAGTTTTGACTCTGCTCAGGTGTGGGATTTTCTACTTGTGGTGTCCTGTTGGTACTCAAAATTTGGGGGCTGGGCATAGTGGCTCACGGCTGTAATCTCAGCACTTTGGGAGGCCAAGGTGAGTGAGTGGATCACTTACGGTCAGGAGTTCGAGATCAGCCTGGCAAATACAGTGAAGCCCCATCTCTACTAAATATACCAAAATTAGCCGGGTGTGGTGGCAGGTGCCTGTAATCCCAGCTACTCTGGAGGCTGAGGCAGTAGAATCGCTTGAGCCCAGGAGGCACAGGTTGCAGTGAGCCAAGATCATACCATTGCCCTCCAGCCTGGATGACAAGAGGGAGACTCTGTCTCAAAAAAAAAAAAAAAGTTTTGGGTTATGGGGGATTTTGGATCTTTGGGTTACGGATGCTCAACTTGTATCTCTTTCATTTGGTGGCTCCTCTCCTTCCTCCACTGAACAAACATCCTTGTGGAAAGGTGATGGCTGCCTGCACCCCCTGCTGGTGAAGGGTGAGAAGGTTCAGAGCAATAGGGCCAAGTTGCTGGTGGGCACCTGAGGTTCAGGCCAGCCTAGCTGTGACTGAACCCACCTGTGGCTGAGCTGAGCATCAACCAGCTGTGTCCACACCCGGCCTGAGGCCTGCCCTCTCCTCCCTGGCTGGGGTGGGAGGCAGATCCTCCCATTAGGTGAGGAGCAACAAGAGACCTGCTCCCCTTCTCCCTCTTGCTTTTCACAGCCGAGGCGGAGCTTACGGGAGTCACTATTAGAGTGAAGGACCTGGGCTTTGGTCTTTGGTGCCTGGCAGGGGTGACCGTATCACTGAGATGGGGAAGGAGCTGCCATGAGTCATTTTAGTCTCTGAGCTCCAGCCCAGTTCTGGGGGCACAAGGCTGGAGTTAGGGATACTCCTGGTTACCTGCTGTAGGAAAAGCACAAAATAAATTGGCATTAAAGTCTTGGCTGTGTTCTGGGAGTTGAGGGAAAAGCAGGGAGGGATTTAAGTGGCTTGATGAAAACACCAGAGACAGTAGTAAGTAGTTACTTACTGATGTTTACCCATTTCTACCCTGGTAATCCTCCTGCAAATGAAGAAAACCAAGATTTCTTCACCTATGATTTTCCCCATCTTCTGTATTGAAACAGTGATCTTATCTCACGCAGTGACTGCAGGACGTTTAGAAAGGTGGCCGTGGGTTTCATTAGAGTGGGAACGTGTTAATGTCTCCTCTCTTCATCTCAAAGTTTCTGTCTTACTACCTGTTCCCTCCTCTTAATGCCGTCTCTACAGTTTGCTGAGATGCTTTAAGGATCAGAGACACAAAGAACATTTGAACCCAGGGCTCCTCTCATGCCACCACCCCCCGCGGGGGGTGGGGGGGAACGCTCGTCCTTAAATAAAGCATGTTGGAACTTCAGCTTCTCTCTCCTTCCACAGAACTGCTGGGCGTCTGCCCAAGAACCCAAGCACCCAAGCAAGACTTCTCCATTGTCTTGGTTGAGGGCGGCATAGAAGAAACCTCTTTGTCAGTCCCAGACTGTTTCCAGCTCAGGTGTTGGTCCTCAGCTCTGGGGAGGGCTGCACGAAGAGCCTGGTGGCAGGTGCACTCCCCACTTCCTCCCGCTCTTCAGATCCCTGCCAGTATTTGCCTTTTCTGCTTCATGGCCTCCTTCAGGCCTTGGCTGTGTTCTGGGAGTTGAGGGCAAGTATTTGAATGGAGAGGGCCTCATAGCCAGTCCCCATTCAGATGCTTTAGGAGTTCAACATAATGTTTTGAAATATGTATTCATTGTGGAATACAATGCAGAATGATTATATCTAGCTAACTGACATGCATTACCTCATATGATAAATAACATTTTAGCTGTCAGTTAAAAAAAAAAAATCCCGAATCCCCCAAATGCTTTGGGTGCTGACTCCAATCTGCAAATCACACAGTTTGGATTCCTGACCACTGCCTGGGGCAGGGAGCATCTCTCCCTTCAGATAGCTCTTTATGTACACTTGTTTCCTGCTCTTCCGGACTCATTTTCAGCAGGCTATGGAAAGAGGTTTTAAGGAGAGAAATGAAATGTGCAAGGGGTGGTTCTGTTAAAGAAAAACTTAATGATACTCGTTAAAGCACAGTAAAGACCACCATCTCGATATGTATAGGACCACTGCAATGGGGTCCTGCATGGGGGAGAGAGATTGGGCTCAACTCTGAATACAGGGTGCACAGTGGGAATTCATAGTCAAGGAGCAGGGTGGTGGTGGGGGTCTGTAAATAGAAAATTACTAACAGGACCCATCAGGGTAAGAGGGATTCTGGTGAAACTGACTTAACAGGACTGTTGCTTAAGACAGGCCAGGGTGATACACCACTCTGGGATGGTGGAGGGTGAGGAGCCTGATAAGGCCTAGAGACTGATCAGATACCCAAGGGGAAAAGGGTTTTTGCTAAGACTGGATTTTACAAGGTAGCGCACACATGGGCCTCGCAGAAGACTCTGAAGCTTGGACCTTAAGCCTCTCTGTCAGTTCTTCTAATTGCCAAGGATTTTTTCCCCTGAAAGTGACGAGGCAGAATAGCCAAGTATTTTATGTTCCTTTATTCACAAGGAAACGATGCTTCTCCACCCTAGCCCGTGAGACCTGGGCTTGTCGGAACTCAGCGGGTGAGAGCCGGGACCCTGGATGTCACTGACCCTAACCCCTCACGGCGGCGGCGCGACTCCCGCGCGAGACTGCCCTCCAGAAGAGCTGCACGCACCCCAGCCGCGGCGGTTAGGTTGTGACCTGAAGGCACTGGGGCCGCCCCTTCAGCCTTGCTATCTGGACTCCGTCCCTCGAGGCCCGGGGCTGATGGCAGAGATCCGGCCGTGCGGGAGCAGCGCAGGGGAGGGAGCGAGGTCTCCGAGCTCGCTGCACCCGGGTGTGAGCGGCACCCACTCTAGTCGCCTATTTGTTGCGGACCACGTTTCCGATCGCTGTCCGGAGTTCCCATTTGGGGACAGATTCCCCCCCACCCCCCGTTTTGGATATGGAGTCTCGCTCTGTTGCCAGGCTGGAGTGCAGTGGCGCGATCTCGGCTCACCACAACCTCCGCCTCCCGCGTTCAAGTGATTCTCCTGCCTCAGCCTCCCGAGTAGATGGGATTACAGGCTCCCGCCACCAGGCCCAGCTAATTTTTGTATTTTCAGTAGAGATGGGAGTTTCACCATGTTGGCCAGGATGGTCTCGATCTCTTGACCTCGTGATCCGCCCGCCTTGGCCTCCCAAAGTGCTGGAATTACAGGTGTCAGTCACCGCTCTAGATCTTATCATATCATCCTTGTAACCTCAAAATACTGTAGGGGAAGGCCTCACATCGGAGATTTCCAGTCTGGGCTCCGGCCTCCTTTGGACTGCGTGAAGCTAGCAGTGTGGTTTTTAACTAAAACTCAGCGCCGGCGCCACGTGACGGCGGCGGAGCCCAACGTCCTGCGCGCGAGCAGAGGAGACCCCCCGGGGCCGCCACCCGAATAGTAAGCCTTAGAAAGGACTCCTCTCTTATAGGATAACAGGCCGGGCTCCCATCCTCCTGTACGCGAGGACTGCCTGGTCCACCAGGGGGCGTTCAACCTCGTTTGAGGGAATTCCCGGAGGGGCTTTCAAAAATGCTCCCTTTTCCCTTCCGCTAACTTCAGGGCCCAGGAATGGACACTTTCGCTTTCCTCAGGTCGGGCCGGGCCGCACCGCCTAGCTGGCATTCACAGCGCGCAGGAAACTGGGTGCCGGCAAGGTACACGGGCACGGCCAGGACCTCCCAGTGAGCCAGCGGCTGGAAGCCGGAAATGACGTGAGCGATGGGACCGGAAATGCACCGGAGGCTGGGAGCGCGCAGGGCCCGGAAGACGCGGGCGGCCGGAGGAGGTCCGCGGAGTTCGGGCGCCGGGCAGGACGGCGAGGCTTTAAGTTCCGGTGGGGGGTGCGGGTCCCATAACCTTCCGGGAATTGCCTCCCGGCTCCGCTCTGGAAGCTACGAAGGGGCACGAGAGCCGGAGCAGGGGACCGTGAGAGCAGGGAAACCAGTAGGCAGGTCGGAGGAGCGCGCCGCAGGTCGGCGCCGCCAGTGCGGGGACCGGCCCCGAAAGCGAGGGCGGGCTGTGAACGGGCGGCACATCGCGTTCCCGCTGGTCCCGGTTCGCTCAGGCAGGATGGGTCGGTTTGAGGTCGGTCCGCGAGCGGGGAGCCCGGGAGCCCCAGCTTCTGGAAGGTGCTGCGGCCAGCCCTTGGGGCCGAGAAGCAGGGCGTACACAGTACAGGGTCTGGAGGCTGTGAAGCCAACCAGCTGATTTCAGACTTTTCTGTCATCTTCTGCAAGTTAACTAAGCCTCAGTTCCTTGTTTGCGAAATGTACTTAATATGCACCCCAGGGTGAAATAAATTTGTCTGCATAGACTGCAGCACTGTGGGCTTGGGAGGCGCCTTAGTGGGTAGGGGTCAGACATCACTGTCTGACTTTTGACAGAAATTAAGGTACATTGGCAAAGGTGTGCCCCGTGGCCAGACAGGTTGTGAGGAGGGCCTGCTAATATTTTTTCTTAAATTGTAAACATCCATATGAATGAGCAATGTATTATCAAATTATGATTCGGAGAGGACTATCGCTGACTACTGTTTTCTGGGCAAACCTCTGCTGTAGGAGCTTCTGGCTTGATTCTTAAGTGGAAGGTAGAGACCTAGGCCCTCTGAGTCAACTCCCGTCTGGGTGAGGACTGAGCTTCGGGACTGCAGAGTGGAGGCAGAACAGTTGGGATAGGGAAAAGAGAGGCCAAACTAGATCTGAGGCTGGTGTGGGGCAGGGGCCTCACAGTCTACCTACTGGCACAGTGATGCCCCCTGGCCGCTATTGCTGGTTCAAGTTTGACCAATCAGAAGTCTCTTTAGCTTAAGGGCGGGTGTTGGCCAATGAGACCTTACTGTGAAATAAAATGGCCTCAGTTTATTGTAACTCAGTCACCATAGAGGAATGGAGAAATCTGGAGTAGGGCAGATGAAAGGCCATTAAGGGGTATTTTAGGGATCGGATGGGCTGGGCACCCTGAGGACAGTGGCATTTGGGGTGGTAATGAGAAGGAACATTAGAGGTCTCCGCCTCCTTCCTTTCCTCCTGTGCTGAGTCAGCACAGATGCTGCAGGGTGGTATCTCTGGTTGGCTCTGGCTGCCTGTGGGGGCACCAGCTTTGGGGAGGTCAGAGGGCTCTCTCTCGAGCTGCTGTTCTGCCCACAATCACACCTGCTCGATGCCTGTGAATGGCCTTCTGAGTCTCCTGGGCCCTGCTCACCTCTTGGTCAGTTCTGGCCTACCCTGCACTGACGAGTAACTGTACCTGATGACTGGAGGTATTCTAGCTTATTGGAATTCACTGGACTTTGTTGTTTTTTGTAGGAATAAAAGATCAACTCTCACTGAGGATAAATGGACGTGTAATTCTGGGTGTGACTAGAGAGTGAGATTTGCCTTCCTGAATGAAAAAGCAGGTCATTAAGCTTGGGTCCTGACACTTCTTTGTGGGAAGGTACAGAGATGGAAACCTTACAATCTGAGACGAAAAAGAGGATCCTTCCCTCATGGCTGACAGCCCAGGTGGCTGCAAAGAATGTGGCACCAGTGAAGGCCCCCAAGAGGAGGAGAATGGCAGCAGTGCCGGTGGCAGAAGCAAGGTGCGACAACCCTGGTCAGAGGACCCCTGCAAAATTCGAGTGGATCAGGGGCCCCCACGATCTGGGCCGGGTCTTCCAGTTGAGGCAGAACAGCAAGATGGGTGGGTGTTTCAGTCTGATCATCTCCTGAGATCTTAGGAGGCGGATGGGCTGCCAGCGGGAGGCAAAGTGGGTTGACCCTTGAGGACACCCTCACTTTTGTCTCTGCTGTCAGCACACACACAGTGGCTTCTTCATGTCAGCCAGGCTCTGATGCCACTTGTCCAAAATGCCAGTCTTTTCCTTTGCAGCAGACATGGTTACATGAGATGGGTAAGATCAGGGGTAGGGTCTGGTCTCCTGAGTGGTGCCTGCTCTTCCTGTGAACAGACCTTCAGGGATGGACAGATGAGCAGCAGCTGCGGGGCCAGCAAGAGATCAGCAGCTGGGAAGTGAGTTAGTTGAATGATGGTAACTGCTGGAGGGGAGTGTCTCCAGGCTGCAGCATCAAGTGTGCTCCCCTCTCCCCCCATCAAGTGGGTGTTCCCTGTTTCCCTGTCTGGCTCCTCCTCCTCTAGGGTTTCCTAATTTACAGCCCTCCCTTGTGATGGCTGCCATCTTTCCCTAAATGTGGTCCTGCTTTCAGTTTCCTCTCGATGCAGCCTTGGCCTGAGGTCCCCTTACTCTTGCATCCACATGAGTGTTTCAGAGGCAGCTGTCCTTCCCTACTTCCAGATTCTTGTAGGGCAGTTAGTGGAAGGTGGGAGGCACCCCAGTGTTGCCTCCAAGAAGCCCGTGCCAGTCACTGGGCTGCAAGGCTGAGGAAATTGTGTCTGTGTCGGAGGAAGCTCCTCAGCTCAGGTGCTGGTGCCTCCTGCCTGGTGGGAAAGGCTTGGGGAAGAGGCCCGCTTGCTCCTGTTTTCTTTGTCCTTGTGAGACCTGAGAGCCTGTGTTATCTGTGCCTTGTGTGTCTTTGTTTCAGACTCCCTGTGACGAGGACTGTGTACTGCATGAATGAGGCTGAGATAGTTGATGTTGCTCTGGGAATCCTGATTGAGGTAAAGTCAGCTGAGCCACTTACTCATGACCAGAAACTCTCCATGGGCAGAAGCTAGATTAGGCCCTTGGTCACTGTCAGTAAGAGAGACACCCTCTGCCGCAGGCTTCGTCTTCTTCCTCCTGCCCTTTGCCTTACTCTTGTCTCGGCCCTGCTCCCCAGGCCTCTCCCATGTGGGTGTGCACCCATGGGGTGGGTCTTTGGGGCTAGACGCCTGGGAGCGCGTGTGTGTGTGTGTGAGGGAGAGCGACTGTGCACTAGTGTGGATGTGGATGGGACATGAAGCGTTTTCCTCTTTGTGTTCTTGGAAAGTGTTCCAGTTGGGTAGATGACTTTTTAGCCGTTGCCCTTCTCCTGAGCAGAGGCTGCTGAGCTTCCTGGCTTCCTGCAGTAATAATTGCAAGGCCTCAGAGTTGTAAAGCACTCTGTAGTTTCCCAGGTGCCTTGAAAGTGTGTGTGACGTCATTTTAGCTTAGCAATAACCCTGTGGTGTGGTTGTGTCAAGATACTACTACAAGAAATCGAGCCTCTGGGACTTTTCCTAGTGCTAAGACGTGGGCTCACACCCAGGTTTTGTATCCTAAGCTCCTTCCATTCTGTTACTGGCCTTTCTAGACATGCTTCTTCCATTTGTTTCTTTTTCCTTGCCCCTCAGCTGATCCTTACGTCTCTGCCTGCTTCTCTCCCAAGTGGGTCCTGGTTTCTTCAAGAGCTGAGAAGAGGGGTTTGGGCTGGAGTGGGGTGAAGAGAGGGTGGGTGCTCAGGATATGGGTGCATTGCCTGGCCTGGTCACATTGGCTTTGCTTCTGGATATATCCTACGTTACCGACAGACAGATCAGCATGTTAAGGAAATAAAACATGTTTGTTGAGCCTGCCGTTTCCTGTATTCCACAGAACCGCAAACAGGAAAAGCCCTGCGAGCAGCCGGCCCTGGTGGGCACTGATAACCCACAACCCTCCCCTCCCTGCTCTGTGTCGCCTCACACGAGTTCTGGGAGCAGCAGTGAGGAAGAGGACAGTGGGAAAGAGGCACCGGCCCCAGGCCTCAGCCCTTCCCAGAGGCTGGGAAGTTCCAATTCCCCATCCAGCAGGAGCCCCGAAGGGGAGGAGGAGGAGGAAGAGGAGGATGTGCTGAAATACGTCAGGGAGATCTTTTTCAGCTAGGGCATAAACTCTGAACTTCCTGCCAAGAGCAGCTGGAGGGCAGCTGAACTTCTGCTGGTGCTGCTGGGCCGCCCACCTATGGGAATGGGGCTCTCTGTGCTCCCACCTTTGTGCCTTCCTGGGCCTGGCAGATTGACTCCAGGCCTTGGGGCTGCTGTTTTGAGTATGCGGAAGCCATGGCTCAAAAGAGATCCCATTCGAATCCCGCTGTATGTACTGCGCCCTCTCCCAGCTCCGAGGCGCTGGAATCCCAACTGTCTGTGGTAGTCAGTGACCAGGTTCCAGGGAGAATGATGTCATATGCTGGTCCAACTGACTGGAACCAAAGAGACAATACTTTTCAAAGAAAAGGATCACAGCCAGGCGCACTGGAATTGCTAAAGTTTAGTCCGCATGATCTCTCCTGAAGGAGGAAGCCTGTTTAAAAAATAGTTTCCGTCATGGTCAGTCAGTCAGAGAGCTCCCATCCCTCCAGCCAGCCTAGAAGGCAAACGAGCTACCCACAGTTCTCCACCCTGTCTGGGAGCTTGAGGACAGTATACAGACTGGTAAGCCAGACAGGCCTCCTCCCCTAGGCTGCTACCTTGTTTTCACCTGTACCTTGGTCCCCAGGGAGTTAGCTATAAAGCAAGAGGGACAGCCCAGAAGAGACACTGAAGACAAGCAATCACATCTGAGTCCATGTTTCTGCCTCTGTTTTCAGTGTGGCCTTGGACAGGTGTAGATGAGTAAATCATTGGAAATGATACAGGTTTTCCAATACACAGGTGCTAGAAAATACACAAAATTCCCCAATGTGTAAGTTGTGCCAATGTCCTTTCCAGGTCCTGGTTGGGAAGTGGAGGGTGGCAGCGTTTGTATGTGTACAACCGTCCAGTCCTGTTCACACGGATTTGGTGTCCTGGGTCTCATCATGGGAGTGATTTGCCGGCAGATGTATCTGCTCTATCTGGCTTCAGGTCCAGGGAAGCTTTGAAGCAACCAAGGCTTCTCTTTGTGCCCCATGTATCCTTTGTTGAGTCACTCAGAGATCATTCCTGGGCCTGTGGGAGTGGAGTCCCAGTGGTGGCTCCTGGCAGCCCACTCACCATGGTGAGTCCAGTGGAAGCTCCCTAATCAGGGCCCCAGTGACACTGAGGTGCTCACTTTTTTTTTTAATGTCCTCATTTGTTGCCATAAATCTTTGCTAGGTTTCAGTTTGACATTTTGCAGATCAGCCTGGACGTCTGGCCCCATGATGGGAATCACTCCCTCCTGAAGCTAGAGGAAGATTTGCTCAGATCCATTAATTAAAGCAGGAATTGCTGTGACAATGAGCTGCATGGTTTTAGGGAGTCTTTGGAAGCCTTGGAAGTCCTGAAGGACAGACAGTCCTACACTAAGAAGCCACCGGTGCTCCGGCTGCCCTTGGTGTCCCTTGGCCTCCTTGATGTAAGGGCCCCACCTCTGTAGTGGGTTCCATCTGCTGGAGCTGGAGATCAGTATTAGCTATAAAATGAGTTGGCTGAAAAGATGTACCATCTCTGAGCGTGGCTGGAACTGAACCCTTGCAATCACATAAGACTTTAGCAGCTCTCAAGCGCACTCTTAGCCCTCTCAGCCCTCAGAGGGAACACAACTGTGGCCATAAGCAAGAGGATGAGTAAGCCCTGGGCGCTGCCCAGAGCTAGAAACCCAGGCCCCAGGAGGGAGAGCCTGACCCACTTCCACACATAGGAGAGGAAGAGGCCTAGGCCGCCAGCCAGTAGCACAGAGGCTGCACCCAGGAAGCCCACTGCCAGCCGCCATTCTCCCTCATCACTGTTGCACCGGGCTAGGAGGAGAGGCAGGGGCACAAAGAGGGTGAGGACCAGGGCCCCATACACGCCAAGCCTGGCCAGGGCCAGGCCAACCTGAGACACCCCCAGGGCCTCCAGCTCAGGGAACCGGTGACACTGTAGGATGCTGGTGTCCTCATTCCACAAGCAGAAGTTGTAGAAGCCAATTCTCAGGTTGGGCAGATCAGTGAGGTTGCCAGCCTTCCAGAGGAGAGCGTAGAACATCAGGGAGATGACCACAACTGTGAGGGCCATGATGCTCATGAACAGCAGCAGGTTGCCCCACCGAGGCCTTGGGCTGGCCATCTCTCCTGCCCTCTGCGGGGGGACCTGCGGGGAAGTCACAGCCGTCAGTCCAGCTCTCCCTCGCTTGCTCCCTGTGTCCTCACAAGCTCATGTTCTCCCTTTGGCATTTCTTAAAAACCCATGGCAGTCTTCTCTCCTACCCTGCCCTCTGCCAAAGGCCAGAAATCTGAGATGACCTCCTGCCAGGATCCCTTTGCTAGTAAGTCATTAGCTGCCCTCTGATTTGAGGTTGGGAGGAAAAGTCCCCCAGGCAGCTTTGAAAGTGTAAAATATCTTAAACTGAGTGAAATGCCCTTTAGCCAAAGGCTTTGCTCCAGTCCAAATACAAGCCACTGGAAGGATTAGTGAGGGGATTTCTCCGATCTTTTTTGATGCTGGGTTTTGGCTGAGGTGAAGGGCAAGGCCCACCCTTACTGGGGACTTGAAGATGGAGGAAGGTACGGTTTTTACTACAGCTGCCTAGACAACCACCTGGGGAGCTGTAAGAACTACCCATTGCTGCGCCACAGATCGATCAAAGCCCAACATTTGTGCTTAGGGCTGGGCACTGGTGTGTTTCTGAAGCTCTGCAGCTCGTTCAAAGCTGATCCTGGGTTGAGGACCACTGCCACACTCACTCTGATTTTACCTGCTGTGCTCTGGGAACTCATTTCTGGGCCAAGACATTACCTGGTGATGAAATCTCATTATATATTCATTATTTAAAAACCTAATACATTTTTTTTCTGACAATGGTAATATATGTTAATTATAGAAAACAATAGAGGATTTTTTTTTTTTGAGATGGAGTCTCACTCTGTCACCAAGGCTGGAGTGCAGTGGTGTGATCTCGGCTCACTGCAACCTCCACCTCCCAGGTTCAAGTGATTCTCCTGCCTCAGCCTCCCGAGTACCTGGGACTATGGGCACCTGCCATCATGCCTGGTTAATTTTTGTGTTTTGGTAGAGATGGGTTTTGCCATGTTGGCCAGGCTGGTCTCAAACTCCTGACCTCAAATGATTCACCCACCTTGGCCTCCCAAAGTGCTGGGATTACAGGCTTTTGCAGAAAACAAAAAAACAAAAAAAAACAAAACCTGTATCCCACCATACACATCATAAAACCACTGTTAATATTCTACCAATATTTTCTTCCTGTGCTGATGTATTTTTACATAAACATGCCATTGAACATGCTTTTCACTAGATTTAGTAAACATTTTTCAATGTTATTAAATATTCTTCAAAAACTTGATCAATGGCTGCATAATAGTTCACATGGAATCATCCATTATACTATCATTAGACAAATTGTTTCCACTTTTCACCATAATAAGTGATGGTCAGTGAAGATGCTTGTGTGAATCTTGTTTGGAATCTGATTTTTTCTCAGGTGAGCTACCTATAAGTGCACTTTTTGGGTAGAAATATCTTTTAGTGATTTTGCTGAATATTGCCTAACTGGCCTACAGAAAACTTGCTAATCATAGTCCGTCTAGTTGTATATAAAAGTGCCCACTTTGTTATACTCTTTTAAAACATTATTTTCACTACTTTTTAAATCAGAAGGGGTTTGTCCAGTTGGCCTCTGAAACAGTGGTCTGCACACTGTACCTTTACATATGTGCATTTTCCAATATGGGATAAGCTTTGGCTGATATGGTTTGGCTGTGTCCCCACCCAAATCTCATTTTGAATTTTAGCTCCCATAATCCCCATGTCATGGGAGGGACCCAGTGTGAGGTAATTGGATCATGGGGGTGGGTTTTCCCCATATTGTACTCATGGTAGTAAGTCTCATGATATCTGATGGTTTTATAAAGGGTAGTTCCCCTGCACATGTTCTGTTGCCTGCTGCCATGTAAGACGTGCTTTTGCTTCTCCTTTGCCTTCCGCCATGATTGTGAGGCCTCCCCAGCCATGTGAAACTGTGAGTCCATTAAACCTCTTTTTCTTTATTAATTACCCAGTCTCAGGTATCTCTTCATAGCAGCATAAAAATGGACTAATGCAACAGCATTCATACCTGGAAGTGACTAGGAACACAGAGCTTCAGGCTTTGTGAGGTACGAGATATGGGGACCATGATACCAAGTGGCTTCCTGTAAGCCCTGGGAAGAAGTCACAGATGGTGTTCAGCAGCAAAATGAGTGGTGGCCCTAGGGAAGGACCCAGAGGCTACACAGCCCTGATAATCAGCTTCTTAGGGGACCCCTCTGGAGGAACAGACCGCTCCTCTTCCCCAGAGGTGACTGGAAGGTCTGTCTCATTCCACACACTGCATTTGTTCTCTGAGAACAGAAAGGGACCAAGTGGGGAAAAAAACAACATGGAACAAGCTGAGAGAGAGGGCGGTTCCATTCAGAGGACCTGGTGTGTGCCAAAAATGTGAATAAAGACTGACCAGCAACTCCTTTGTCAGAGACCTGGGCACACTGGCCAGCAGAGAGCTGGGGCCTGGGAGTACAGCAAGGGCAGGGTCCACACTGCCACCACCTCCCCTTGGATGCTACTGATCCCGACTCAGCAGTACTGGGCCATCTGTTCAGTTCTGCCCAGGTGTGCCTGTGGCTTCTGCTCCAGAGGAGCTGGGTGGGGACAGTTGGAGTGGAGGAGTGAGGGCTGTCCCGGGAGAAGCCCTGGCTGCCGCCTCTGGTGGCACTGTCTCTCAAAGGCTCTGGAGGTCCCAGGGCCAAGGACCTGAATACCCATGTTTGAATGTAGTTGAGAGATTCTTGGAGCAATGATGCTTGTTACAGAAGGATTTATTGGGAATTGAAAAGATGGCTTTAGTCTGTACATTATTAGCCTGGGATGATAAGGAGTTTTAACCATTTGAGTCTGTGGTATGGGAAAAATTGCCAACGGGAACATATTTTGTACGGTTTTGCTTATTTAGCAAATGTTGTAAAAGTCTATATCGGTGCTTTTAATGGGTTTGGGTATCTTAGGGTGTGTGTGGATTTCCAGGACTTCTCTGATTTATACCTACCGTTGTGCTGTGGAAAAGGTTTGACTTGCTCCATTGTTCAGGACCAACTAGGAAGGGACTTGGGGATGCCTTTGTTTAAACACTCCCTCTCACTTTTCCTATTTGAATTCTGTTACACTGGGATTCCCCCCCCTCCGCCCACCAAAAAAATTATGAAACATTTTGCCTCGAAAATAGAGCTCCCTTTTTAAAAATTAATGTGGCTTCTCAGAGGGGAGATTGCATCAGCCACCTCCTGGCAGCTCCTGCCAGGCACCAGGAGCCTTTGTTTTGACTTCCTCATTTTTCTCTTAACTGACCTTTTGGTGGTTTTAAATGTAGAACGAAACAAAATAAAACAAGCCAAGAAGCTCAGGACCAGGCATGTGGAGAAGGTGGCGGCCCCTCACCTTTTGGCAGTCCCAGCTCCTATGAGGCTCTCCACTATCTGGTGCGACTTGGAACTTGAACGTGGAATTCTCTGGTGAGGCCCAGCTTCCACTCTTGCCTTGTGCAGTCTAGCATCTGCTCAGCTGCTCAGGCTGTGTAATAATACATTCCCATCTGCCCATCCTCAGCTACTCCCCAGCTCCTAAAGTCTTTCCCTACTTTCTGTTTCTCTAAATCTGATCCATGCAGCATGAGCATTCATTCCTGGGCTCCTTCAGCCCACACTCTGGTTTAGCTATAAATTAGGATTTACTCTTCACCCCAGTGTCATGTCTCAGAGGAACAATCTTCATCTGTTTTGCTATTCTGATACACAGTAGGGGCTCTTTTTTTTTTTAATGAGCGAATGAAATTGCCACATAGTCTCCCTGAATTCTTTCATGTAGGAATCTTGGTTACACATCTTAGGACAGCAGAGCTGCTTGAGTGAGGGCTGTGTTTAATGTCACATGCATGCCCAGCACAGTGCTGGCATGGCCCATCCATGCTTTCCATTGGAACTATGAACAGACTTCAGGAACTTGTGTATGGAGAGGGTGGAGGTTGGTGCTCGCTTCTTTCCCTAAACGTTTTGCAGTGGCAGCATATGGTTCTTTGGTTGGAAATCTCATGACACTCTTCTCTGCTTCCCCACGGGCCTACCCTGCTTTTCGTTTTTGTTTTTCTTAAACAATCCTGATAATAACACCTTCACCACAGTGAACTTTTAAATTCCCTTTAATGATTAGCCAATGTTTCCTTCAGAGGCAGAGGGGAGACTGCTGAGTCACTGTGGCCATTTTTAGATGAACTTTTTCCTGTTTATAAAATAACACATGTTGATTGCAGGAAACTAGAAGATACATGAAAGTGCAAAGAAAAGACTAAAATTCATCTTCTACAGCTTCACATTGTAGAAATAACCACTCTGACTGAACAGCACACTTCTTTTATAGTGGTGTTTTACACTGCTGGGATTACGTATATATGTTTGTATCCCACTTCGTGAACATCATTCTACTTGAACTAGAAAGTTTCCTAAGCACTATTTTAAGGACTGCATGTAGCTGTATCATAATTTATAGTGTATACACATGATGGCTTATAACGTTATTTTGTAACGTTATGAATGCTATGGTGAGTATGTTATGAATCAGTTTATCCTTCCACCAGCAGTTTAAGAGAGTGTATGTCTCATCTCATCCTCCCCAGTATTGCATATTCTTGAGTCTTTTATTCTTTGATAATGACAAATGATCAGTGATAGTTTTTCTTCATGAGTAAATGTTTTCAAGTGTTTGTTGACCATCTGTATTTCTTCTCTTGTGAGGTGCTGTCAGTTCTTTTGCTATTTTAAAAATCATTTTGAGTTTCAGTTTTTGTTTGTTGGTCTGTATGAACCCTTTAAAAATAAAGGCTGTTAGCCTTTTGCCATTGTAATTGTGTCAGTAAATTATAATCTTTTTCTGCACTAGGTCCTCTGGACCCAGGCACAGATTTAGACTCCAGGTCAGCATGTAACTTGACCACTGTCACTTGAGAGTTACAGCCTGAGCAGGGCCTTAGGAGGGAGATGATTTCTGCTTAAAGGCAACACAAATTCCTAGTTAGGGAAATAGAAGAAAAGTGTTCTCAGGAGATTAGTTTAAGGCAGCTTTTTTGTTTGTTTGTTTGTTTAAGCACCTCTAAAATTTTCATACTAATAAGGGAGAATGGGATGGGGGCTGAAAGAGACATGAATATTGTGTCATTTAATTCTAAATTGTGTTTTTGTCAGGTTCTTATTGAAAGAGTGAAACTTGAAAGGAACAAGATGACTATCTAAACGCGGGTAGTCTGTGCCTCTGCCATGGTGAGAAGCCAAAATAGTAAGTGGATCCATTTTGAACAGATTGTCTAGGAGAGGATGCTAGGATAAGCTGGAGAAGATATGGGAAACATAAGTAGGAGAGGGTTTGGGGCAGCTTGCTTAGCTGGAGCTGACTGAGAGTCTGGAGAGGCTCCTGATGTGGGGAAACAGTAAGAGAGAACCCCCTAGGGCTCTAAAACAAACTGTTACAGTCTTGGCCATGGGAGGAAACCCTGACCCACTAGGACCTTGGGCCTGACATACAGGGATCCTAAACATTGCTCAGAGACATTGCTACAGAAAGGAAACCCATACAAAACCTCACAGGCATCTGAACCTGGAGCAGCCTCAGCAGAGTGTCATTTTGAGAGCCTAGATCCTGGGACTCTACAGACATGGCTCTTGCTGCTGAGCTGCTCCGGGGAGACAGGAGAGTGGGTGCCCCCATGTACCCCTAGGAGGTTCTGCTGCCCTGCTGTGGGCTGCCAGTGAGACAGATGTGTGTAGACAGCCCTCCCTTCAGCTTCTTTTCCACATTGCTTGTCTGGGAGGAACACTCTCTGATCCCAGGTCCAGGTGGCATTTTGAGAGTTTAATGCTGGGCTGCATCCCCCTCCCAGCCTGAGTTTGGGCTGAGGAGGCTGCAGTGGCCTCCTTGCTAAGGAGGGATAGGGAAATCATTCCAACCTACACATATCTAGTACAAGACCCACTGCCCTGACATGGGCTGCTGTAAGACTGAGGCATAACCAGCCTGTATGTTCCACAGCTTCTTGTCAATGCGGCTTGCCTGTGAGGTGCTCCACCCTCTCTGGTCTCAGGCTACAGGTGCTATTTTGAGAGTTTAATGTTGGACTGCACCCCTCCCTGGGACTGAAATTGGGCTGGCACAGCTGTAGCTGCCACCCAGCCAAGGATTAACAGGGAAATCAGGCTGCCCTTTGCACATCTAGGTCAATACCCACAGCTCTGAAACATGCTGCTGTTGAGACTGAAATGCGAGCAGACCGCCTTCCCCACAGCTGCCTGCCCAAAAGGAGCCTGGCCCTCTTGTTCACAAGCTAAAGGTGCCATTTTGAGAGTTTAATGTGGGTCTGTGCCCCACCTTCTTGCTTAGTTCAACTTGATGTGGCTGCAGGGACAAGGAATCCATGCTCTCTCACACATATCTAGGACAATACCCAGCGACTGCTACTGGTTGCTGTGAGACTGAGACTCAAGTAGACCAAACTCTACAGCTTCTTGCCCATGCTACTTACCTGAGAAGGTCCCCCTCTCCCGCCTTCTCTGGTCACAAGCCCACAGCTGGCACCATTTTGAGAATTTAATACTGATTCACAATCAGTCTAAGTGTGAGGCAATGTGACTGCAGCTGCCACCCATGTGGGAATGGGACAGGGATGATCAAGCTCTCCTAAGCACACTTAGAGCAATGCCGACCACCCTGCTTCAGGTGGCTGTGAGACTGGGGATTAGCCCACCTCACCCATCACAGCTTCTAGCAACACCAACATGGACTGCCTGGATCCCAGGTGGCTGCTCCAACACTGCCACTGCCATCACTCACATGATACCACCTGGCCTGGAGCTAGAGATCATACCCACACACTGGGCTCACCATTCCCACTACTAGCTTCTAAGCAAGCCACATGTCGGCACAAGAATCGGCTCTCCAGGACCCACTAACCACCAGAGCCAGTGTAAACTGCTGTG